CCAGGGCCGGGGCAGCTGCTATAAAGGCGGGGGGGCTGGGATGTGGGCCACAGGCCGTGCCATGGCTCCCAAGACGGTGCTGATCACCGGCTGCTCCTCGGGCATCGGGCTGGCCCTGGCCGTGCGGCTGGCGCGGGACAAGCAGCGCCGCTTCCAAGGTGAGCGGGGCAGAGGAGGGACCCCCTGGCTCCCGGGGGGATCCCATGCGGGGCTGAGCCGCCCGTGCCACCCCCCCTTCAGTGATTGCCACCATGAGGAACGTGGGCCGGAGCGCGGCGCTGGCGGCGGCGGCGGGGCCGGCGCTGGGCCGGACGCTGGAGATCAAACAGCTGGATGTGTGCGACGAAGGCTCCATCCGAGCCTGCCTCGACAGCATCCCCGGGCGCCACGTGGATGTCCTGGGTGAGCCTTGGCACCCCTGTCCCGCCCTGGCCGTGGGGAGCCCTGGGCTGGGAACCTCCGTGACGGGGACAGCCTGTGGTGGGGACACTCCCTGTGCTGGGGGCTGTTCCTGCCAAGCGTGTCCTAGGCTGGGGACACTTTGTGCCCCCAGTGCTGGTGGGGGGCATGACAGGGACACCTCATGCACCAGAGACCCCTTGACCCCATGAACCAGGCACCCTCTGTGCCAGGGAGCCTCCAAACCCAGGAAATCCCATGCTGGGGACCCTCTGAGCACAAGGGGACCCTCTGTGCCAGGGATCCTTAAGGAAAAGGGGACCCCCTGACCACACGCACCAGGGACCCCCTGCAACAGGGACCCCCCATGCTGGGGACACCCTGTGCACCAGGGACCCTTCACTGCCAGGACATCCCACGCTGGGGACCCTCTGAGCGCCAGGGACCCTCCATGCCCAGGGTGTGGGATCCCCCCACCTGGGGTCTGCCCCCACTGATGCCCCGTGCCCTCAGTCAGCAACGCCGGGGTGGGCATGGTGGGCCCGCTGGAGAGCCAGAGCCTGGCGGCCATGCAGAGCCTCATGGACACCAACTTCTTCGGCCTCGTCCGCCTCGTCAAGGAGGTGCTGCCGGACATGAAGCGGCGCCGCGGAGGCCACATCGTGGTCATCAGCAGCATCATGGGCCTGCAGGGTACGGGGGCACGGGGCACCCTGGGGGGGCCAGCCCCGCCCTCAGCCCTGACCGGGACCCCCCAACCCACCCAGGCATCGTCTTCAACGACATCTACTCGGCCTCCAAGTTCGCGGTGGAGGGTTTCTGCGAGAGCCTGGTGGTGCAGGCGCTGCGCTTCAACGTGGCGTGAGTGTGGGACTGGGGGGGGGGCTGCAGCCCCCCGGGACGGGGAGTTTGGGGGGGGCCCAGTGCCCAGCGCCCCCTCCCCGGGCAGGATCAGCCTGGTGGAGCCGGGGCCGGTGGTGACGGAGTTCGAGACGAAGCTGTACGAGGAGGCCGAACGCGCCGACTACTCCCGGACGGACCCCGAGACGGCCAAAATCTTCACCGACCTCTACCTGAGGAACTCCAGGGATGTGTTCGCCAGCCTGGGCCAGACCCCCGAGGACATCGCTGAGGTGACGGGTGGGAGGGGGCTGGGCTGGGCTGGGCTGGGAAGAGAAGTGTTAATTAGCCCAAATGAGGAACACCAATGGCCGGTTGCAAACAGGGCAGATCCTGCCCGGACAGCTCCATCCTGATGGGGCTGAGCCTGGTTGGGAGTGGGAATGGGAGTGGTGGGGAATGGGGATGGGGATAGGGATGAGGGTGGGGATGGAGTGAGGTGGGATGGGAATTCGATGGATGGGGATAGGATGGGATGGAAATGCAATGGGGATGGGAAGGGATGGAGATGGGGTAGGATGCGATGGGAATGGGGTGGGATGGGATAGAGATAGGGATAGAATGGGAAGGGGATGGGGATAGGATTGGAATGGGGTGACGTGAGATGGGATCAAAATAGGGATAGGATGGGATGGGCTTGGGGATGGGATGTGAACGGGAAGAGGGGATAGGAATGGGGATGGAGATGCAGAGGAATGGGATGCAGACAGGGCTGAAAGGGGACGGGGGTGGAA